ACTTATGGTCAAGAATTTTGAAGCATATTTGAACTGCAAAAGTAGGGCTCCTGGCATTGATCGCACTAAAAAAAGATCCAAAATATAAAGGCACATTAGTTTCATCTGTTGCATGGCTTATAAAATTAGGTATATTAATCCAAAATTTCAAGGCTCTCAATGGGCAGGCAGGTTAGTAACAAGTTTGCTTACTCGGATATTCAGCCTAAAAGGCCCAATTATAGCCATATATATTCACAGGTAATAACTAGCAGTTATCCCGGCAAACAAATATAGACCGACTATTTAGTGCATAAAGAGAGCTTCTAAAATCTGCCAGTAAGTGGATGGAAATTAGTAATCAACTTCAGCTTCAGAAAATGGGAAGCCTGGTTAATTGATGGGTAGATATTCCATAAACTAATAACATTAGGATCATAAGATTATGGATCATAAAGATGATCAAACTTTTCTATCATCAGTTTTAGAATTAGCACCCTCGAACTAACAAAAATTAAAAGTATAAAAAAACTGCATGTTATATAGTAGAAAGTTTATGAAGATTAGCTTTGCTTCAAAAACATGTTCACACAATTTTTTCCAACGAAAGGACTTTGCTGGCTCTCAAAATCAGGGTACATAACTTGAACGGAAAACAGTACGCCACCAACCAGTAGCAAGCTGTCGGAAGATTATACACAGCACAAGTTTATGTTTTTCTATTATAACAAATTGACAAAAATACATCTAAATCATGAACAAGAAGTCTCCTTAAGTCATTATTCATACAATAATATTCCAGAATTCTAAGCCAAAGAAAGAAACTAAATAAAGAATAAGAAAAAATATGTTGTGCTGACAAAAGGTTCTGACATTTCTACGAGTTAACTAAATGAATTGATGATATGGCTCCAAGATCAATTTTCAATGAAATTATAAACGCTTTAAAGAGCTTCTCCTCTCTATATGATACACTCAACGAATGCGGCTCCTGCCACTGCACAGAGAGATTGATTCTAAGACCTTCAATTCAAAATGAAGGTAGCTAACCACAAAAAACATGAATTTCTTTAGTTTTCATTAGGTTCTTTATGCTAATAAGTGAATTACTTTACATTAAAGTTAACTAAATGCTGGCAAAAGTGTCAAGAATAAAAACGGTAGCATCCTGAGCTACAAGAACTTGGAACACAGATATCATTGTCTTATTAACATTATATCATGATTTAGTTTTTCTTTCCTTTTTTTTTTGTCCAAAAATTGGTCACATTATGTCATCACGTAGTATGATATAGTTTGAATTGACATAAAGGTTGCCAAATGGATGAATCCTCATCCCTGGACTTATAAAAGACCTAAACATAAGTTAAAAAAAATAAGCTGGCCACACATTCTACGCAAGATTTCATTATATCCAAATAAGAAATTGTTTATCTCTGATTTCTTGAGCAATTTTCATTCAACTGTCTCAGCTTGTAAAGTATCATCCTCTGAAATGTTAAGTATCAATAGATTTTTGGGGAAGTTTAGTTTGCAGCTTCATTTTATGTGATGTATGTCCTCACACATTAATGTACATTGAATAACATCAGAAAACAATAACTAAGTAATCTAAATGGCGGCCAAATCGATTGCTATCAAGATTACCTGAATCTCGATAGCCAAAGAAAAACAAAAAAAAGGATGTTGAATATTCTAAATTGTGTTGCATTAGGTAATGATGATGAAATATGCACTGCAGTTAACAGATAACATGATAGACCGGCCAAATTTGATTGGGAGGAATTAGTATATTTCCTAATCAAGAGGGAGTTATTTAGGAAAATTCTTAATAAAAAGAATTAATTAGGAGATGTTTCCTAATTGAAGAGAGCTATATGGGGCTAATTTAGAGGGGATTAATTATGAAATGTTTCTTAATTGAAGAGGGCATATTTAGGGGCTGATTTGGGGTTGATTAATTATGAAATATTTCCTAATTGAAGAGGGCATATTTATGGGATGATTTGAGGCATGATTTGGGAGGGAAATAATTAAGGAAATGTGAGAGAATTAGGGGAGAACTGTTTGGGTATTTGTTGTTTAATTGTTTGCTTTAAATAGGAAGAGAGGATTAGAGTTAGGGGTATGCAAATTATTGTGATTGTTCTTGTTCTTGGAGTTTGGTGTCTTGGGCTCTAGCGGCGTCTAAGGATTGGGAGAGATAGATCCTTCTCTCGAATTGAGGATCAATTGTATCTTGCTATTTTTTCTTCCGTTAGTTTGATTTATGCAATAAAAACTATTGTCTTGCTTATTTTTCCATTGGATTTGTGGAGTGTTCTTGCTATTTTTGTCTCCATTGTTAGGGTTTACTTGAGATCTTCAAGCATTTCCTAACATAACACTGATAACTATGTGGCATTGTTGTTTAGATAACAATGATATTTAAATAACATAGAATAAAGCATGCCCTAACATTAAGGAGTGAAAGAGACATTTAGGGTCCACAACTGCCAGATTAGAATTAACTTGATAGAAGTACCATCTGCAAAGCACTCATCATTAGGGAATTTACTGATTTTCATCATTAAAGATGTAAGCAAATTATGCATGTAAGCAACTTGGGGACCAATCCAAAAAAGGCATTCTAGATTTTGTTTCTAGCTTAGCCCAGTATTGCAGCTTTTTACTTGATTTTCAAAACCCTTTAGTAATTCCTTGATTTTATTTTATTATTTATTTATTTATTAAGTGGATGCACTTTTGCAGTTATTTTTAGTACCCAATATGAAATTCAGTCTAAATGTTTCCAACATAGAACTCCAAAGAGAATTCTATGAAAAAACCCAGCATAAATTTTATCGAAGGATCACATCTGAGCTCTACCAGGTACCAAGTTTAAGCCTTTCTGCCATTTAGTCCGCCCTGAATTCCAGATTGTATACTCTTCTATTTCCTTTACACTATTTCTACAACAGTAAGCATTTGGCGGCAAGTAGTATAAATTATGTAAGTGAATTGAACTGAAGCAGCAATCTAGAACCATTTGAAAGAGCAAGAGATGAAAGGGGAGGCACAAAGTGGCCAATTCATCACTTCACTACTCATCCCACATTAGAAGGACAGTTAAGGGAGATTAGGTGATTAAGTTCCCATATAACTACTGAAATTTAAGTTTTTTTGGGCCAACTTTCACATCGAATCCAAAATAACGAACCAACCTGCTCGGTTTCCGAAAGCATATGTTCCAAAATGGAGGTTTAAGATAATTCTTGGATTAACTTTCCATAATGGACATAAAACCGTATGACCAAACTGCAGAATGGCTATTCATTAATAATTAATAACTTATATGGTGCTAATTTTCATAATACTACATTATGGAAAAGGGTTCCAGTTGAAATAATGATCAGAAGAATAAAATGAAACACATAACTCCCAGGTCACAGCTATCATTCTTGTTTTCCTGCATAACTTTTTCCCTGAAGACTGAATTTAAACTTAGTAAACACAAGTTCATTTGGAACTGCATAAAGTCTAATTTTAAACCAATCAAAAAAGAAATATGTGTACAAAGCCAATCAGCAAAAGTTTGTTCATTGATTTTTTTTTTTTTGTTTTATTAGCTCAAATGGCAAGCGATAATTTTTCTATGTTTTTCCAGTTCCTAAATATCAATGAGCTTTTAGTCCCTTGATTAAATCCAATGGCAAAGCTCAGGAGGCCAATTACATATTGATGGAGAACAAATTATCCTGTTTAGCCGCATCAAAGACATCAGAACTTTCAGTCAGTGCAGAAGGAATCACTCTATTCAGGTTGGTAAGTTAAAGATATGCCCACTTTCAGTACCCAGGACATTAACTAATCAAAGAAATCCTTGCCTATTAATGAGAGAGAAGGGAAATAAAATTATTTTTTTTAATTGAGCTATGTATGAAATTACTAAATGGTCTACATCAAATTTCAGCAGATTGGCAAGGGCTTCTTTAAATAAGGATAAGGATGCAAACAATGCATCAACTAGTTTGGATTAATCCATTTGTCCATCATACATTAATATAATTAAGGGTGTGAAATGGAAAATCATTGTTTTGATCCACCTTGAGTGTGCCATTGTGCCCCAAAGACAGCAGTGAGCACAAAAAGCACGCTTAAACTTGTTACGAGTGCATATCTGCAGTTATATATGGCGGTTAGGCAGCAACGCCAAAGATATAATTTGCTTAGGAGCAAACCTAAAATAAAACAAGCATATTTCCAATTTCAAGGGCTCATAAATGCATAAATATTACTAGTATTTCCTTCTATTAAATTTGTATGCTGCTTGCTCTAGAAGAATCTTTCTAGGAGCATAAAACTACAAAGGATGATATGAGGCAGTTTGATTAAGGAAAGATAATGTTAAGAACACACTGTTTTATGAAGGAAAATCAGAAGGCTATAATTAACAGCTGGAATATTATCTTAGATTTTACTTAATTTCCTCTTGACAAATTTAGTATTTTTATCTCATGTTTTTTCATTTGTCAAGATAATCATTTATTAGAGTTGATGCCTTTAATTTTAGCAATTTCCCCAAATAGAGTAGTTCTTATTAACAAGTTGCAGGAAGTCACTGTGTCATTTTAACTGTTTCTATTTCTGGTCAATTAGATATCATAGAAGTTGATGGCATCAGTTGCATGTTTGCCACTGCAAAGAAATTTATTTGAGGGAATCGTTTTTGTTGTGTGAGAATGCCGGTCACTTTAACAAAATGATGAAACCCTTACTGGAAAATATTCGGGCAGATTTTTACTATAATGCTTGCTGAAATATGTTGAGATATTTTCTGCACGCGAGATGGATACTTGCATTCTTTTCATATTCCAATTATTAAATTTTCGCTATTTGTAATGACCCTTAGCATTTGGATAACATTCCAACTTATTAATAATGAGACTTTCTGCTGTCTGGTGGCGCAATAAACAGCTTGGTAAACGTACATTGAAAAACGACATAATAACAGCGAACAGACAAAGAACAACAAGACTAACCCCCTTTGCAAACTCGATTCTAAGAGGCATCCCTGCAAGATTTGACCCATGAAGTGCTCTCAATGCAAGCACAGCATCCTCCTCCTTTTTAAAGTTGACATAAGCATAGCTTCTGCCAGGTAAATATGCTATGCTTTCAATGTCGCCAAATCTAAGGAACTGCTCCGAGAGAACGCTTTCTGTAACATGAGAGCTTAAGTTCCCCACCCAGAGCTTCCGTGAAGGAGGAGCTACGCCCCAGCCACTTCGTCGTTCTCTCTCTCCATATCTAGGTGAGTACTCAGTATATGGCCTATCCCTGCCTCGAACACCCTTGCCCATCTAAAGAAAAACAGAGGAAATGGAAGAAAAAATGATGAATATTCCCGCGCTCATAACGGCCTAGGGCAAACAGAAAAAAAAAACCATAAACATTTTCAAAATTAGAGGAAATAAGACATAAACCATAACTCAATCAACAGCTGAAGAAGTTTTCCATACGAATTCAAGGTGGGGGAGGGGATGGAGGACGAGGATGATACCTTTCAGCAGTAATCCTTAAAGAAGCCGAAGGTGAAATACGTTCGAAGCTTGAATTTGCTCGAGGATGCCGAATGGAGCGACAACTAACGAAAGTACAATATTAGGGTTTCCTTAATGAGGCTAAGATGTTAGAGTTCGGGAATTCGAGGGAAGAGGCAGCCGAAGCAGAGATAGCTACGTTGGTGAAGGGAAAAGTGTGCGCCGTGTAAGATGAAAACCTAGGGCGAAGCCGAGACGAATCTCCGAGGCAGGACGTTACATTTTTCTACTAATGGCGACGGCTGATCCAAACCATAAAACTTGGATACGAAGGGTTCGTTTGGTTAGTCTTTTTTTTTTCTTCTTAAAATAGTTTTTTAATAAAAAAATAAATTTTAATATTAATAAATTGTTTTAATAAACAATAAAAAATACATCCTAAATGAAGGAGAGATTATTAGGGGTGGAGTGAGGACGGGGAGAATCGTCCGCACAAGTATTAGGTACCTAGCGGTACCCGCACTCGGTATCACTGGGTACTGCTGGGTACCACTAGGTACCCAGTGTTTGTGCGGACGGTGGGCACTCCGTACCTAATAATTTTTCCAAATGAAGACGAAGTAGATTGGACTAATCTTAAATCTAAGAACATGGGGTGTAAATAGATGAATCAATTCGATTATTTCATTCAAATTTTTATTTGGAATTTATAAGATTAGATTGATATGATAATTTTTTTTATGTTGGAATCATATTTAATTAATTCAATTATCATTTGAGTTATATTAAATGGGTCATTTTTAGATTAACTTTTGTTTGGGATAGTTTTTGGCAACCGTTTTTTTTTTTTTTTTAAGAAATTGTACTAAAAATTTACTTTAGAAAATAATAAGAAAATTATCTCAAACAAAATCTAAATGATCCTTATGTGGGTTAAAAAGAAGTAATGCACATCTTCCAATTTGCAAGGTCTATATGATAAACAGATTAAATAGATTATTATCAAATATTTTGATACATATGATAAGAGAATAAGATCAAAATAGTCTCTTGAATTTTTATGAAAGACACAAATAATCTCACACTATATTAAATGATCATTTTGATCCATATACTCTTAAAAGAAGAATCAAAATGGTCTCAGTATGAAACTATTTTGATTATTTTTTAAAGACTTGATGGATCAAATTAGTCTTTTAGTATAGTTGAAGGATATTTTGATCATTTATAAAGAGTCAAACATACCATTTTGATCCTTTTTTTTTCGATACGATAAATAGGACATTTTGGAGTGAATCTTAAATGATGCTCATATATAAGAGTAACAAAAACATATACATAAAGAGAACCTCTCATAGGTGATGTTGCAAATTGAAGTTGATCTCAATATTCTTATGGCATTTTATGTGCATAATGTTGATTATTTGAAAACTAAATGATAATATAACTAAAATATGGAGTATTATAGCATTAGTATTGAAACATCATGAGAAAAATACCAATTAAGTGTGGATTTTGGCACAAGTGCATGAATTTAAAAACTTTAGGTTTGACTTTGAGAACATCTAAATTTTATTTTTGATAAATGTATAGTTCAAGATAATTTTTTAATGAGACAAACTCAACAACGTCAAAAGTACCTTGATCCAAGTTCTAATAATTCAAAATCAAGTATAAGAAAATATAATTCAAACTCAAGACATCATTTAAGGTACGAAACAATCTTTAAATCTTATGTGTTTATAGTCAAAACGAGCTTCTCATCAAGAAAAATCAAGTGAGGCCAAGATTGCCCAAAGTTTTTATGTCTGCACAAACGTCTAAAAATACAAGAAGGGTTATTTTAAGAAGTCGAATTGAGTGTCTAAAAAATTTGGGGAAATCATAAAAATGACACTCAAATTTATAAATAGATCAACATTCTATATATAAGTGGGTCTAAAGTTGGAGAGAGCTCATAGATTTGAAGAATCCCAATTCTTTTCCAAATAATCAATGTACGATCATTGTCAATAATGATCGCCACTCTACTACAGTCACATGATGGCCATCATACGATTTTCATCTCCCAACCAAATTGTTTTATTCTAAAGATCGTCATCACCAATAAGGAATACACATGCCATCAACATCAAATGTTGACATTAATAATGTCATAACATGATGTATGTATGAATGTTAACGCCCATCGATGCTAACAAGGTATTCACCTGCCTTCATCACCAACTTGATGCTCGCTAATGCTAGTAAGGTTATTGCATGCCATCACAAACAATGTTGTTCACTACTAACACCAACAATATTGTCAATCATCATTACCAATAATGCTAATACTCGTTAATGCTAAAAATGTCATCGACCACCATCAACAGTAATGTTTGCAATAACCAACACTACTAAAGTCATCATCCAACGTTGACAACTACATTGACATACATCATTATCATCAAGTCTAATGCAAGCCATCAAAATTATCCCTAACACCCATGGATGCCAATAAGGTCATCACCAACTACGAAAATTAATAATTATGCACATGGTTTTGAAAATCGGACCGGATCGACCAGTTCGACCGTTTCGACCGGTTCAACTGTGAATCGGTCCAATGACCAGTTCGATGCTCTTGAAAAATTGGGCTAGCATCAAACCGTTGAAAACCGATTTGAACCACCGGTTCAATCGCCCGACCGTTGAACGCCACGGTTCTTAAAAACAACACAACATAAAGCATTTAAATTAAAAATTAGTAATTATTAATATTTAAATATATAATATAAATATAATTATTATTTTATTTAATTTTAAAATTATGTAATATCTTATATATGTATGAATTTTATATATTATATATGTATGAATTATGAAAATTTTAAGATTAAATTGGCATCATTATTATGTTAATTTCATTAATTTTTATAATATTATTATTTATTACATCATCCGATTCGACCAATCAAACTGATCTAACCGTGAACCTCTCATTCTTCTGGTTCGTTGTCCGATCCAGTTTTCACAACCTTGATTATGCATGTTGTCACCATTAAAATCATCTCTCTTTATCACCAACAACATCAACCCTTGTCTTCGCCATTGGGAATGATGCATGTTATTGACATCAACCTTCATGTTAGTTGATACACATTGAAGCCAACATTGATGCTCATTGACACCAATTAGTTTATCACCTATTGTTATTATAAGGCTATCTACTATCATAGTCAATAATGTTGACATATATGTTAGCATTAATAAATTCCTCACACATCATTATTAGCAACATTGAAGCATGTCATCGCCACCAAGCTCAATGAATGATATTCACATCAACATTAATGCAAACCGAGATAAAAATTGTTTATTTTAATTATCTATTATTATGTTTGTAATCCTTGTATTTAATATAGGGATTATAAAAAAGTCCAAAACATTGGGCCAACGTTACAGAACTCATTTCAACATTGCAGCGCCACAGCAAAGAGCTTACCAAGAATCAGTTGGAGAGCTTAGCATCAAAGTGTTATACAGTCAGCACCAACGTGCCAAATCACTTAGTGGCGCAGCGAGAGTTACTTGGACCGATGAACTAAAGGACTATGGGAAAACTGACATGCCAATTCATAGGCACTACAGTGCACCAAGTCAATGCCACAGTGCTAGTTCAGTTAAATCTAAAAAACTATAAATAGTAATCTTAGTCTTAGTATAGAGAGTCTGGCAACTTGTAGAGTCCTTTTTTGTGAGTTTGTGTGAGTGTGAGGGCTATCATGGGGAGGGTATAGATTGCGTTCTTGTACCTTGAGTCATGTATTATAGCGGAGCAGATCAAGGAAGTGAATAAGGCATTATAATTCTAATTTTGACACACTTCTAAACTTTAGTTTATCTTATTTATATTGTTATCATATGTTGTAGTTTGTACTTATCAAGCATTCAATATAATAAAATATTTATGATGAGTAATATTTTGAGGTTTGGGGTTATTAGTTACTTTTATTTTATTATTTTGATGATTTATAGAAGCTCCGGTGAATTAATTAAAAAGAGAAGATAGATAATATTTTCAATTTTAGTTTTGGGCATTACAATATCTCGGAGCAAAGGTTGATCGCCTTAGGAGCTTCATTAAGCTAGTATGTCTTGAATAGAACTCTATCATAATCTGGCAGAAGACTATAAACTTAGTGTTATCTGGGAGACCCAATTGATCCATATGTTTGCTATTAGAAGTTGTGTGATTTGTATTTTTAAAAATTTATAAAATTTTGTGGCTAGATGTGAGCTTAGGTTTATCCTTGTGTGTGTGTGTTGTAGCTCATTTAGAGTATAGGAAGTATCTTTAAAATTAAGCTCAGCACTGTTGTGTTATGTAAATTATCAAAAATAAGATTTAACTCATCGCACCGCAGCAAGCATAATCCTAGGCTATAAAATTTCTAAGAGAAATTTAGAAGTAGATAAGGCTAAAGTTCAAGTAATTGAAAACATTCCACTGACCACTTCTGTTAGAGGAATATGAGTTTTTTAGGAAACTGGATTCTATAGAAAATTAATTAGGGATTTTTCTAAATTTTAAAACTATTATGCCACTTACTTGAAAAAGATGTCCCTTTTAACTTTGATGATGAATGCCTAAAAGCTTTTAATATTTTGCAATAGTACTTGATTAGAGCACCTATCATTTTTACACCTACTTGGACTTTACATTTTAAAATAATGTGTGATGCTAGTGATTATGCTACTTGAGCTATGCTCGGGCAATGAAAGGATATGAATTTTATGTTATTTATTATATCATGTTCAAATAATCTAATTTCAAATAATTATTCTTTTTATCTTTTAATCAATAATTCCCAGAGCTATCTAATATGTTTTATCAGTATACTTTTCAACAAAAATAAAGATATTGATCTAACATCAATATACATATTCATCACTAAAAAAAAATCATGTACAATACTTAAGAATTATAATTATTATATATCATTCAATTCTGAGTACAAAATAATAACTACAAAATAGAAAGAAACATAATAATAATAAACTCAGAGAATCTTGATCAATCTTATACTTCTAATCCTCTGTCATGACATGAAATCATTTAAATTATATATAATGAGCTAAAAAATTTAATATCTTACTAAATTCAATACATGAACTCAAAGAATAGTAAAAAAATAATATACATGTCATTGATCAATTTATAACAGTAGCAACCAGTGATCATGAATCAGTATAGAAATAATAAAACTCACATACAATAATAGCAAAGTTTGTAGACAGTAAAATAATATAGTG